TTTACTATGTGGTGACAAATCAAAATGATAAATCTTAAAGAAAGTGGACAGAATGATTAGGTGTGATGGAGGTAGGAAAATCTTCCATTTAATTTCAAAACGAAGCTTTTAATTTCAAAACGAAACCTACTCTCCCAAACACTTGACCTGTTCTGTGGGATGAAGTCCCAAGTAAATATTAATCTAGATCCATGATTATCAACGTTTGGTCCTCCAGATGTTCTGTACTTTCAATTCAATACAGTCAAAATGGTAAGTGGTGTGTGCTCCTTTAACTATCATGCTGTCTTTATGGGTTACAGAGTGTGATCTCCCACTTCTTGTATTGAAGACAGATGCAGTTGGTGTTTGGACAGGGGATGTCTCAGTTTGTTCTTCACCTTAGACAGAAAAATGTCTTTGGTCAGCCCTACCAGAGTCTCCAGTCAAGGTGATAGGAGTCTATAATCCTGGAAGTGTACAGCACATAGGCACCTTGTACACTATCAGAATGTGAATAAGGCAGAGGATGCAATCTGCCACTACCTGGGGATATAAACCTATGCATGTTTTTCTTTTTTTTAAAAACAAAAAAACCCAGGGAAGTTCATTATATTCTCAAAAGAGGATTCCCTTTTGTTAAAATTGTCTCAGTCAAGGAAGTATAAATATAGCTCCTTCATAATGTTCAGGGAGAGCCTATGGGCCTTGCCACACAGTTTCACTTGTTGAAATACTGGACAACTTCTATTTTCACTCTAATATAAACAATAAAACCCCAACTTTCAAATAATGAAGACAGTCTTCCATTCTGTCAGTTAAATCAATATTGGAATGGAAGTTATTTATGGTTGTTTCCTTGGAGATTTATCACTGCCACTGTCACAATTGACATCACTTGTCATGATAAAGACCACCTCCAGCAGTAGGCCCCAAAATACCAATTTCACAGTTCATACACAATGACAACTGCTTCTAGTTCAATAAAGTGAAATATCACTGCAGTTCGGATGGGAAAATATCTTGGATGGACTTATATACAACATATATTTCATAAACAGTTAAGAGAGAGATTTATGGCCTAATTTCAAAGGTATTTTCTATTCATACTATTCCATCAACATGTTATCTTCAACCAAAATTAGACTTCCATTTTGACACTATTGGGCTTTCCTTTGCAAACAGATCTTCTTTCCAAAATCAGAACTCCATTGTTTGCTTCAATAATGGTTATGCTTTCATTGGTAAGAGATATGCAGAGCTGTTTAATATGCCAGGAGGAAAGCCGGGCAATGAGCAGCATAATTAATTCTTGAGAAAAAAACAAAAATGAAAAGCCTGAGGAATCAGGTAAGAAACCGACAAATAGATCAAGATAGAAACAGAAAGTTGGAATGTAAAGGTAACAGAAAACAAAAAAGGGCGTATAATATAACCTGAAAAACTGAAATGAATTTTAGATACAAACTTCCCCAAATTTAGTTTTAGTGAGACTGCTAAGAAATCAGACCAAGACCATATAAAGGAAATCTTGTGTGGCCTTTGGTTAACATTCCAAAAGTATTAAAAGATAATTAGACATAGCAGGCTAAAATTATATATGACTATATTCTGAGATATTTAAATCACAGTAAAACCATTTTTTGTTATCGGAATACATATGTCATTCTGTTGATCTGTTTGTGTGCAGCTTACCTGGGTAAGGGAATAAAGCAATAGCATTTATAAATTATTTGGACTAATTTTGGAACATATACTTCTTCTAATTCATTTTTCCAATTTCAGCATCTATAGGATAACACTCCTCACATGTAAATTAGTGACTTATTCATCAAATGCATTATCAATCTATGCTATCATGGAATAATTTTTATGATGCATGTAACTACTTTGGGAAGCTATCCTAGAATAAGCTATCCTAGAATAACACATTGTTATGGAGACAGAAAAAAAAACAGAAGCAGATTTTTTTATATAGAAGGGTACTATAGAACACAGCTGTAGAAGCAAGGCTTTTCTGCCATGTCATTCACCAAGCAGAATGATTTCATTTCTCAGTGAGTTCAGCCATAATTGTGGTTTAATCAGCCACAACAATAACAAAACGCAAAAGAAAACCAGTTGCTGGCAAAACAAAGGACTGATTTCTAAATATATCCCAAAACAAAAGAAACACTAGCATGGATAGCTGAGCAAATGAAGGGAAATACTTGACACAGAAATATTACAAATACACTGTTGTCTGCTCTAAACTCTTTTGCTGATAGATAACTGGTGGAAAGTCAAGGGGCACAGATCAAGGAACAATTTCTTGTGTAAGTCCTACTAAAATAGAATGAGTATGTCCAAATGCACAACATCAGTAATACAAATCTCAGCATGGATCCCCTATAATATATAATTCATATATAATATATAATTCATATAGGGTCTATATGAATGGAAGTAAATGTGAAAAGGTAGGTCAACTGAGATCATAGGTCTAAGCCATGATGGAATTGGTTCAAGTCTAGGTTCCCATCCGTACTGTTATTACCCCATTGCTCCACTTTTACTGCTATGACTCCATCCTGTGGCACTGGTGGCCTGGTAAGGCATTTTCTTTGAGACTCCTAAATCACCTCCTGAACCTGCCAATCTTAGGAACCCACAATTAATATTTTTCTAAGATGTATATATGATTAATTTGGACCACACGTGACACACAGAACCCCCACGACCAACAGAACATACTAAAGGTCTTTGTGGGGACTGYCCCAGCATGGTGGGAGTTGTAGTTCACCGTGTATCTAGAGAGCAGTCTGAACCCCACCAATGATGGTTCTGGACCAAACCTGGCACACAGAAACCCCCTGGACTAACAGAAAATAACGGAGGCTTTTTGGAGGGGGGGGGGGGTTGACTCTGGATTGTGGCAGTTATAGTTCATCCTGCGTTCAGAGAGCACTGTGGATCCAAATGGCAATGGATCTGGACCAAATGGAGCACACATTGCCTCTATGACCAACTGGGGTTTGAGGACAATGACAGAGGATTATGGGAGTTACAGTTCACACTTCTGCAAATTACACTCCTGCCAACAACAGACCTGGACCAAACTTGGTATCGAGACCCCACATGGCCAACAGATAATATTGGAGGGAGTTGGGGAAAATAGTCCTTGATTTCTGTAGTTCATCCATATCCAGAGTCCTCTGAATCCAAATGATGATGGATCTGGACCAAACTTGGCACACATACCCAATTTGAATACTGATGGGGTTTTGAGGAAATGATCTTGAATTTTGGGAGTTGTAGTTCAACCGCATCCCAAGAGCACTGTCAACCCAGCCAAACCTGGCACAGATACCCAACATGTCGAATTCTGAATACTAGTGGGGTTTGGGGTGGTGGTAAAAGTTGTAGTTCACCCACATGCAGAGTATACTGTGAACCCAGCTGATGACAGATCTGGACCAAACTTGGCACACATACACAATATGCCCAACTTTGAATATTAGTGGGACTAAGTTTTGGGAGATGGACCCTTGACAGTGGGAGTTGCAGTACCTTCATCCACATCCAGAGATCACTGGAAACCCTACCAATCATAAATTTGGCTGAAACTTGGCACGCTGACCCCCCCCCATGACCCATTTTAAATTCTGGTGGGGTTTGGGGGTGTGTGGACCCTGGACAGTGGGAGCTGCAGTACCTTCACCCACACCCAAAGACTACTGTGAACCCCACAGATGATGGATGTTGAACAAATTTGGCAACAGACCCCCATGGCTACTTTAAATACTTGTGGAGTTTGGGGAAAAATGACAGAGGTAATGGGACTTGCACCCCACTCATGTCCTTAGGCATTTTTAATGGGAGCATTCATAAAATCCAAAAAAAATATTGACATTTGTTTATTGTTATCAAATTACTTAACCCAGTCCTTGCCGGGTACCTAAACTAGTATGTAATAAAAGTACTATAATTGTAACTGAGCACCTGGTCATTGGGCAGAAAAACCGACTTGGAAGATCCAGAGTTTAGTAATATTGCTAAACTTATATTGCATGAATTGAACTGCATGATTATGGAAAATGTGAAAGCTTATGACATTATTGAATTCTACTACAGAGAAAATATAATAATTAATAAAATAATGAATGTAATAAATAAGAAAATAAAGTTATGTTGTTCTGTTTGCGAAGACAATGCCATTTAACATAATCATTTGTTAACTGCACTCCTTTCATCCAGATGTGTGGACATTTTCCAGTACTATGGAAAAGACCCCTCTTCTATGGAATTTCCAAGGTGAATTTCACAGGAGTAGATAAAACCATCACTTTCAGTTCTTTGCTTCCCATTATTTTTCTGCTCTGATTTCCATGTTAGTTTGCCACTTCTAAAAGAATCTGTACATGTATGCATGTGTGTGCATTTTTCCCCTATAACTTTTTTTGTTAGCAGTTTTTCTTGATATGATTCGTTTTTGTATTTTTTTTGTTTATTTTCTAGCGTTTTAAGCCTTGTTTTCCCCTAAAACACAGTTTTGTGTATATTTGTTGTCTTCAGAGGATAGTATCGCAGGATTCCAAAAAGTCTGAAAAGCAAAAACTATTTAAAATATTCCAGTTTGTGTATTGATCGGGGAGGTTTTATGTGTTCCTACTAAAAGGTATACCAGAGGAAATTATTCTCTTCTCTACCATTACAGCCCCAAAGAGCTGAGAACTGTAGCCCTTAGAATTAGAATTTCACATACAAAACAGTTTTCACCATATACTATGACAGAACTTTTTCATATTTTTGCAGATCACCTCTAAGAGCACTAATAATCTTCTATAAAATACATCAAGGCCACAAAAAATCCCCCGCTGTAATGCAAAACTGAAAGTCAACTGCCCTTGGAGCTAGCAGAAGTTACTTTGGGGAGTGAACCCAAAGATATATGAGATTGACTTTTTGCATCATATAAGATAATATGTTGGCTGAGAAACCAAGAATGGCGGATACACTTATTGAAGTTTACAGAACAATCATTACAGTTTTATAACATGTATTTTCAGCTGCAATGAGTATCAACACAGCTTTCTTACAGGGCTCACAGTAGAGAATACTGGCTGCATTAACAGGACTTCCAGATCAAAACTGCCTTTCAAACAAAACAAGCCATCGACCACTGTACAAACACAAACCACCGTCACATTTTTAATTTATATGTGATATGATGGAGTCAAATTCTTTTGACAATATACTGGCATGGGCCTATAAAAACTTTAAATTATGAAACAGCATTTGCTTTGTTTTGAGCATCTGTTCTTCCCAAAGGGGAAATGGTGAAAACAACAGAGAAGTGGATTTGGAACTTGAGAGATGGATGAGAACTGGTTTGCACGTCCTATAAAATTCAAACATTCCAGCAGACTCATCATTGTATATTGCCTGACTGAACAAGTAAAAACTAGATTGCTTTTGTTTGTTTTGTGATTCCCCAGACTGTCAATGTCAGTAGCAAAGGAAAAAAAAACATCAGAAAATTCAGTCATTTTAGGGAATGGCACCATTTGGGATTCAAGCAACAGTGTTTCTTTCCCTAATAAAGAAAGGCAAACCTACTCCTGTAGATTTACCTTATTGACTTGGTGGCTGTAAAGTCCATATGCTAATGCTCCTAATGATCAACCATTCTTTTTGACTTTTGGTAACTAGTATTCTCATACAGTTGATATCAAAAAGAACTTTGTGCTCCACATCTGTAATTTCCAAGTTGCCATTTTTAAACTCCCCTAGTCGCAAATAAGTAGTACATTGTCTGCCTTTTTTGCCCCCGACAATTTTTTCCCCAACTTCCAGGGCCCCATGGTGAAGGATATCATTTTGTCGGTCTTCTGTCCCAGTGATAACTTTAATTCTATTTATTTTAATAGGCTTTTCAAAGACAATCACATAGAAATCCCCAGTTGACGGTGCTTTGCCCCAAAAATATTCATCAACACTACTATATGCCTTGCTTGCTTCATAATTTTCAAAGACGTTCATGTTGGTATAAAGAATGGCAGGTGGGTTATCAGGAAGATCAAATGAATCCTCTTCAAAGTCATCATCTTTTAATTTATTCTCAGCTCCTTTGTAAGATGAATAATAACCCATATGCTGGAAAAGAGATGGTTTGAAACGTATCACATCCTTTTGAGCTAACAGCCCACGGAAATGTATAAGCAGCCAATCACAAGGCATTTCCTGGTAGAACATCAGCAAAAAATGGGCCAGTCGAGGAAGATCGTGTGAATGGTATAGCTTCCCAATGTAGCCCAGTTTGGAAAATTCTAATGTTACCCAGTAGGTTCCTTCCCTTGAATTTATTACTTTCTTAACAACAGTCAAGAAGTTTTTGGCACATCGAACATCATCTTCTAACATCATGTAGTAATCAGAGAGGTTAGCACAGAAATTAAGCAAGAATGCATAATCTACATTCTGCTTGGAACGAAATTTCACCCGGTCTTCGGGGTCATTATAATTTCTCTTAAGGCCATCTAGTACTGGATAGTACTCCTCTGGAGTGTGGATTACCATCAATCTCCCAGCAATTACATGATGGGCAAATTTCTGTGAAATGTCTTGAACCATTCCATCACACCAGGCTGAGTCAAACTCGGCCAGGTGTACCACCACAGCAATTTCCTTCAGCTCTTCATAACTTGACTGCTCAAATATGGACTTGATTGTCTCCAGCAAATAATTCCCCTTTTTCCGTTTGACTGAGGACAGTCCAATAGTTAGATATCCTAGAGAAATAAAGAGAATTAGGTCTTTAAAAAAACAGAGACCATAACCATGTGAAATAAAAACAAATTACAATGTAATTTAAAATGAATTATCTCAATGTTAAAAGACAAAACATAAAAATAAGACTTTTCCTCCCCCCTCCCCCTTTGGATGCAATTCCCATCCCAAATTTCACATCACAGATTGCTTTTGATTTTCTGTGTCCACTTGGGTGTTGTTTTTCTTATTGCTGTCTTAAATATCAGATCCCTCCAGAATGCATAGATATCAACCTAACACTTGTCATTCCTTCAGTTAAAAAGGGGAGTGGTCTATATTTGCTAAATAAGCAAGCTTTATATCTTTTATTTTCATAAAGATATATTGGGAACATATTGAGGCTCTTGCATCAAACATCAGGTGTTAACTGCATGTAGTGTGGCATGGAGTAAAAACCAAGTGGTATGTGTGCAAAGATGTTGGCAGGAAAATATATTTAAAATATTAACACTCTACAATCTGTCAGAGGAATGGGAATTCAGAATCATTGTACTCAGACTGCTTATAACTTAGTACATTAGTAAAAATGAATGAAGTGATGTGTTGCTCTATTTTTAAAATAAATTTCAGCAAAAGGGAAGGGAAGGGAAAGAAAGAAATCAAGTTTTTTTTAAAAAAATAGGGATGTGATTTCTCATTTTCTATTTATCTGCAAAGTGAATAGTTTTCTTGTCTTTCTTTGCCACAGGAGAAAATAACAATTTTGTATTGTTCTCAAGAGCTATTCATGTTACGAAGATTTTAAAGAAATGCTTCAAAGGGAAGGGAAGGAAATTTGTTTTTTTGTTTTGCACAAAACCCATTTTTTGGCCAGATATATTTTCTGTTTAAGAAACATTGCTTTCTATAAAAAACAAAACAAAACAAAAAACCCGTATCAACCCTCTCTCTGTTTAATGCATTTTCTGCAACAACAACAAAAAACAATGTAGAAAAGCCATGCAATTTTTATTGCTACATAAATAAGTTGCCCTCCAGACAATGCAGTGTGGAAATACTTCTCCACTGCTGCATTGTTCTTGATAGAGTTTCTCCAATCATTAGGAAGTCAATTATTCTTCTGGGAAATGCATATTAACAGATATTATTTTCTAGGCTTGTGCACGGATTTGTTTTGGACATTTGCCTTCAACTTGTTCGACTTGTTCAGAAGCCCGTAATGGCATGGGCTTCATCGCCATTTTTTTACCGGCCACAACAGAACAATAGTTGTTGAAAATTGGCTGCTTTCAGTTTCTTTTGGTTACACTTTGAATTTGGGGAGGGAGGCAGTTGCTAGGAGGTAAAGAATACCAGGAAGTGAGGTTTCTTAAGCCCTATAAACCCAGGTCTTTTCTAAAGACAGAAGGGAAAGGATCCCAGGAAGCAAGGTTTCATAAGCACTTTATTAACTCATGTCTCCTTTACAGACAGACAGAAGGCAAGGTTTCTTAAGCCCTTTATTAAACTCAGGTCTCCTCTACCGACAGAAGGGAAAGGATCCCAGGAAGCGAGACTTCTTAAGCCCTTTATTAAACTCAGGTCACATTTACAGACAGAAGGGAAAGGATTGCAGAAAGAGTGGTATCTTAACTCTGATGCTTTTGATCCAGGTCTTAATGAAAGACATAAGGACAAACAATGCCTAAAATGATGGGAAGGGAGCCTGGGATGTCCGTCCCCGTCCCGTTCCCCCCCCCCCAATAATGGGTCGGATAGAAAATGAAACTTTCAGCTTCCCAGATCAAAAACAGATTTCTGTCCTCCTGAATCTGGGAAGCTCCTGAAAAGCAGATTGGGACCCCCACCAAAAACTGGAGTATCAAAACACATCACAGTTTACCAAGATTTTTATTTATTTATTTATTTATTTCAATTACTTATACCCCGCCCTTCTCACCCCAGGGGGGACTCAGGGCGGCTTACAGAGAAGGCAGAATTAAATGCCTAAATCAATTAACAAAATATAAATACAACAAACAATTCACAAAGTTAAAGTTAAAACATCAATACATAATAAAATATTAAAACAATCTCATGCTCGGGTTCAGAGTCCATATAACCATTCCATTCCATTTGTCGTTGTCTGTCATCAGATCCTTAATTTAGCTGCCAGTGTGTCCAAAGGCTTGGTCCCAAACCCAGGTCTTCAGTTTTTTCCTGAATGCCAGGAGGGAGGTCGCCGATCTAATCTCCCCGGGGAGTGAGTTCCACAGGTGGGGGGCCACCACTGAGAAGGCCCTGCTCCTCGTCCCCGCCAACCTCACTTGTGAGAGTGGCGGGGTCGAGAGCAGCGCCTCCCCAGAAGATCTTAAGCTACGAGGTGGGATGTAGCGGGAGATACGTTCGGACAAATACACTGGGCCGGAGCCGTATAGGGTTTTATAGGTCAAAACCAGCACTTTGAATTGTGCTCGGAATTGGATCGGCAGCCAGTGGAGCTGGCGCAACAGGGGGGTGGTATGCTCCCTGTACGCCGCTCCGGTGAGCAATCTGGCTGCTTCTCGCTGGACTAGTTGAAGTTTCCGAGCAGTCTTCAAAGGCAACCCCACGTAGAGTGCGTTGCAGTAATCCAACCGGGATGTGACGAGCGTGGACCACCGTGGCCAGATCCGACTTCCCAAGGTACGGGCGCAGCTGGCGCACAAGTTTTAATTGTGCGAAAGCTCTCCCGGCCACCGCTGAGACCTGGGTTCCAGGCTCAGCGATGAGTCCAGGATCACTCCCAAGCTGCGAACCTGCGTCTTCAGGGGGAGTGTAACCCCGTCTAACACAGGCTGTAACCCTATGCCCTGTTCGGCCTTACGACTGACCAGTAGGACCTCTGTCTTGTCTGGATTCAATTTCAATTTGTTAGCTCTCATCCAGTCCGATACAGCAGCTAAACACCGGTTCAAGGTCTGGACAGCCTCCTTGGTGACAGGTGAGAAGGAGTGACAGATTTGGACATCATCTGCATAGAGATAACATCTTAGTCCGAAACTCCGAATGATCTCTCCCAGCGGCCTCATGTAGATGTTGAATAACATCGGGGACAAAATTGAACCCTGTGGGACTCCACACAACAACGGTTGTGGGGCCGAACAGGTGTCGCCCAAAGACACCTTCTGGGTCCGTCCCTCAAGGAAGGATCGAAGCCACCGCAAAGCAGTGCCTCCGATCCCCATGTCCATGAGGCGCCCCAGAAGGATACCGTGATCGACGGTATCGAAGGCCGCTGAGAGGTCCAGCAGAACCAACAGGGACACACTCCCCCTGTCTAGTTCCCTGCGCAGATCATCTACCAAGGCGACCAAGGCTGTTTCAGTTCCATGTCCCGGTCTAAAGCCAGACTGTGCCGGATCTAGATAATCAGTGTCTACCAGAAATTCCTGGAGTTGTGTTGCCACCACACGTTCCATGACTTTGCCCAAATAGGGGAGATTGGAAACTGGCCGATAGTTGTCGAATTGAGTGGGATCCAGTGATGGTTTCTTCAACAGCGGTTTTATAATAGCCTGTTTTAGGCTCGCTGGAAACTCTCCTTTCTGTAAGGAGGTATTAACCATCACCTTCACCCACCCCGCCAACCCCCCTCTGGCTTCCTTGATCAGCCAGGAAGGGCAGGGGTCTAGGATGCATGTGGTGGGTCGCACCTCTCCAAGGATCCTGTCCACATCCTCAAGCTGAACCAATTGAAACGAATCCAACAAAACTGGACAAGCAGGTGCTCTCGTTACATCCCCAGAGACTGCCGTTAATGTGACGTCAAAGCCTGACCGAATCCGCTCAATTTTATCCGCGAAGGATCGAGCAAATGCTTCACAGCGAGCCACCGAGTTATCCGAGGCCTCGCTTTTTGGCGGATTTAACAGGCCCCTGACAACTCGGAAAAGCTCCGCTGGACGATTCTTCGCTGATGCAATATTGGCTGTGATGAATGTTTTCTGAGCTGCCACTATTGCCACACCGTAGGACCTTAAAAAGGCATTCAGGTGTGTTTGGGCTGGATTGGTGGGTTCAGGCGCCACACGCGCTCTAACCTCCTCTTCTTTCGCTTCATCGCTGCCAGCTCCTCAGTGAACCAAGAGGCTGGTTTAGCTCGGTTACTCGAGAGGGGGCGTTCCGGAGCGATAGTGTCGATTGCCCTGGTCAACTCACTATTCCAGCCAGAGACCAGAGCGTCGACAGTGTCGCTAGCCAAGGAGGTGGAAAAATCCCCAAGGGCTGTCAGGAAGCCATTTGGATCCATCAGTCTCCTGGGGCGGACCATTTTAATGGGTCCACCACCCCTGCGAAGGTTAGAAGGCACAGTTAGTCTAAAACTGATCAGGTGGTGATCGGTCCATGGCAAAGGAGCGATGGTCGGCTCCTCCATCCCGTCACCCTCATCCCATCCCTGAGTGAAGACCAAATCTAAAGTGTGTCCGGCATTATGGGTGGGACCAGATATTAGCTGGGACAGGCCTATGGTTGCCATGGCGGCCATGAAGTCCTGAGCCGCACCAGAAAGAGAGGCCTCGGCATGGATATTGAAATCTCCCAAGACCAGGAGCCGTTGGGAGTTCAACGCCATGTCCGAGACCACTCCTGCTAGCTCAGGTAAGGAGACTGTAGTGCAGCGGGGTGGTCGGTACACTAACAGAATCCCTATCCTGTCCCGGTCACCTATCCTAAAGCCGGCACATTCGAAGGAAGATGATTGTGGGATGGGACGCCTGATCAGCGGAATAAAATCCTTATAGACCACTGCGACTCCGCCTCCCCGCCCTCCAAGCCTTGGTTGGTGCTGAACAGAGTAGCCTGGTGGACAGAGTTGGGAGAGATTAACCCCTCCCCCCTCGTCCAGCCAGGTTTCTGTTATACAAGCCAGGTCAGCTCGTTCTTCTTGGATTAGATCTTGAATGATGGAAGTTTTTCCGTTTACTGACCTGGCATTGAACAGCACCACCTTTAGCTTGGAGGGGCCACCATCCTGGCACCTCAGTTGTATTTTGTCAGGAGTAAGTTTTGGAGTTGCCAATCTATTCTTAATTTCGGGCCGGATCAAAGTATTTATTTTTGGAAATGCCAATGTCCTATTGAAATTTTTGGGCCGAATTCGCTTCTGTCTTCGATTTCTAGTATCTAGTCAAATTGTTGTTGTAAATTTTGGGCCGAGATAGAAATTTTATTCTCCCTTTCCCGTATCTCCCTCTACCAGTCACCACCTCTATAGCAGTTCCCCCACCCGCAGTCCCACTCCCCTTGGGGGCGTTCCCTCTTTTTCCCGCAATTGTAGTCTCTGTAATGGGTGTATAATTGTGGTTCTGACTAGCTGTCTCTGGGTCCCAGTCTTCCCACCCATTAGTGCTGTCTATTCCCTCCAGTGTATTACGAACTATAAGATGTACTTGTCCTGAAGTTGGTCTAAAGTGCACTTGTGCCAAGATTGTTAAGAAGTGCACTTGTGCTAAGGATTGGAGGGATAGCAATAGCAGCAAAGGTAGGGCCAGAGTAAACATTAACATAGAAATAATATATTGATGTTAGCACTAAGTATACCACTTCAATTTATATTATAGGAGCCAAGGTACCGAGCATAAAGTGCAAATTATTGTGACCCCTCAGCCTGACACTTTGGCTGTTTAACGATGATGTGGATTCTGGCAGAGGATCTAAAGTGCTTAATTTAAAGTGACTTCGTGCTGAGGTAGTTCTAAAGTGCAACAGTGTGGAATTAACTGGCTTCTATAAGCAGTTTTGCTTTCCAGTCAATAAATCAGGACAGGCAATTCGCACCCGAGAGCCCGCTTCCCTTGGCCCGTGGAGCAACAAACCGGCACCCAGGGTCAGGTCTCCAGAACTTCTTGGCCGCCCTGAATGAAGATGACCCAGCAGAGCAGATGTTAGTCCGCGTGATGAAGCCAGTATATACAAATTATTGCTAATTAGCAGCACAGATTGCCAATTGTCCACTGTATGATAGATATTATTTGCACTTCTATCCTAGCCACAAAGGCAATATAGGAGGAATGGATGTCCCGTCTTTTGGAATGGAACTCTGTAAAAGATTATTCAATTAGCTGCAGCATGTAAACCCACCATATCTCATATGCATCCAGCAATCTCACACACATCACTCAACTCTTCACACACCCATCATATAACTCAACTCACACCACACATCACCTCACAACAACACATCACAACACACATTCTGGTTGGTCTTCCGGAGATGGTCAACACAGATGATCGGTCAGCACAGATGGACGGTCAACACAGATGGTCCGTGTAGCAATTTAGGCAGCACAGCACAGACGATCGGCACAGGCAGTTGTTAGTTGATCAACACAGTCTAGCAGTCAGGCAACACAAATCGATCAGCACAGGTGTCGGCAGCGGACGCCTTCGGCCCTCAGGGCCATTGTTGGAAAAAACAAACAAAGCGCCCACCCCGTAGGTTGCAGTCGAGTCTCTGCCTGGCAGCTAGGCCGCGACCAACCTGCACCGAGGCGGGCAGTATAATGTTGGAAAAGTCACCCCCTTTCCGGAGTCAGAGCCACCAGGGATAGAATCGGCGCAGCAGCAGCGCCGCCAAGCACCTCCGTCGGGTCCGCCAACTCACCCTAGGAACGCCAGACGGCGCCGGGGGCCAGGCCAGGCCAGCACTGGGCCCAACGTAGGAACGACGGCGCAGCGCCGTTGGAACACGGCGCGTGGTTGGGCGCCAAGGCTGGCCTCCGCAGCCTCCGAGGGGGCAGGACGCCAGCCTGCGCGCTGAACAAAGATGGAACCGGGCCAAGCGCCAAGCGCCAGGCACCGGAGCACCGGCGCGGCACTGCGGTATGGGGCGGCGACCCCCTAGATGCAGCCGAGCCCAGCCACAGGGCTGGCGCAGCAGCAATCGCGGCCCCAGCGGCAGCCTCGACAACGGCGCAGGCCGGCAGCGTCTGGGAGTTTCAGGCTCGAAGGACGCTGCTGGCCTCGTCCTCCTCTCCTCTTCTCTTCTCCTCCTCCCCTGGTCGACGGGAGGAGGGCGGGTGACGCGATAGAGCCTACCCGGCCCGAAGGGTGCTGCCGGCCTCGTCCTCCTCTCCTCTTCTCTTCTCCTCCTCCCCTGGTCGGCGGGAGGAGGGCGGATGGAACACTGGGGCCTACCGGACCCAAAGGGGAGCTGCCGGCCTCGTCCTCCTCTCCTCTTCTCTTCTCCTCCTCCCCTGGTCAGCGGGAGGAGGGCGGATGGAACGCTGGGGCCTACCGGGCCCAAAGGGGAGCTGCCGGAAAGAGGAGGCAGCCAGGAGGGACCCACCAGGTAAGCTTTAGACTCTTAGAGTCTTAGAGACTTTCTGGGGGAGAGCCGACCGCATTGTAATGGCGGCTATGGTGGTCTTCTTCCGCCTTCACAAGATTGCACAAGTCTATTCTTTTTATTCTGAATCTGTTTAACTTTTTTCCATTTTTTTAAACATGAGAAACTTTATCTGGTTAATTTTTTTGCCACCTGGTCCCTGGGGCTTCTTCTTTCCAGGGATCATTGTGGTGGTGCCAGTAGGAGAGTGAGCGAATCAGCACTCCCCCATGGTGGGTGCTAATTGGCCGATTGGTCTGCACAGTTTGCCTAAAAGTAGAAATTCCCAGGTGACTCATCGAATAAAGAGAAGGCATCCCACCCACCCAACATTCAAGGAAACAAACAACAGTGCTATGTACATTTTACTGTTACAGCAGCCAAGGTGGGGGCAAGGGTCCAGGATTCAGGGTGGACATTTCCTGGTGGAAGAAGGACCTTTCTCAAAAGCAATTCTTGGGTTGTGTTTCTTTGAGTTTTGATTTAACTCTGGCTGACTTAAATTCAAATGCATGTAGTGCAGCTCCTAGATTGCTTGCAGTCAGGGTACTAATATTTTCAGATTCATGAACTATGGAAAATTAATGTTTTTAATTAGCCAAGACTCTTACTGTATATGCATAGGGAAAACCCTCTCGTTTATTCCTAATCTATCTGACAAGATTTTTTGAGATGGGGTGTGGTGGAATATCTTATTTCATGAACCTACAAAGCAATAGGTTTTGTCTTAAGACTTCATAAGGTATAGTAGCTTTGGAAATAAAAGTAGTGTATCTAAAACTGCTGTACATGCAACTTGGCTGATGTGCCATAAAAAATCCCTAAATTGATTAACCAAATGTCATCACACATTGGTATTATGAAAATATTAAAAGAGTTATCCAACTCTTGGAGAGTATGAACATCTTTTTTTTCTATTCTAACTTTTTGTATATGTGACATACCGTTTCTGTGACAACTAAAAGTTTATTAATGTAATAATGAATTAAAGCTTATTTCCCGAGCTCCATGAAAGAGCAAAATCCAACTTGGTGTTTTCTTCTATGTTTGCAGCAATTGGATGAGATAAAAATCTTGCTTTAGTTAATGAAATTGGAATGTTCAGATACTTACTTTTCCTTAGCAAAGGTGTGCCAGCCAGATAGCGATAGGAAACATTTATTGATCCTGAGAAATTGGATAGATCCTTAAAGGTGTGAGCATATCGTTCTGAGTTTAATTGATGTGTTGCTGATTCTCTGATTAACTGCTTGTCTCCATCCTAGAAGATGAGAAAGAAAGAGGAGAGAGAAAGAGCACAGCTAACACAGTTGAAGGAATTTAGGTGCACAGGAACTGTTTTTCATTGTACATATGTGTTATTTTTAAACTCCAGCTACATATTAACTCCAATTGACCATACATTACAAAAATAAATGTGCCAAATAGAGAAGTTCCTGGAATGTATCATATAAACCAAGTTTTCAAATCATCTTGAGGTGGTGGAGGTGATAGTTTCCTCTCTCAACTATTGCTTAGAACCAGGGCTGTGATAACCATTTTGCTTTATAGAGCATTGCATTATTAATCCCTAGTCTACAATTTGTGAGAGAGACAGACTTTATTTGGAGTAAACTTTTTGTGCTTACTGTGGTTTCAGTTAATATAATAAAGATGTGGCCTGCATTCCATATTGCTGTTTTCAATTGTCATTCTGGTGTGTATGGGTGGGTGGGTAGGGAACTAAAGATATCCCTCCATTCAATATGCTTTTACTGGCAATTTTACATTTCGGCTACATTTAAATTCATATATCTGAATTTAAACAGGTATCACTTGATGAATTAATGCACATGACTCCATCTCTGAACCCTGAATATATACAGCTGCTCCCATCAGTATCTTTTCAAAACCCTATCAGTTATATTCCTATTTCTTATTGCCACATAACTACTGCCCTATTTTCTGCAAATTACAGTGAGATCCAGAATAAATTATTTGAGTTTAGCTTCCATGTAAACTAAAGAGCTAACAGTCTGTAATTGAATTCCCATAGATTTCAATGAGAACTAAATTTAGTTAATACAGTCTGATTCTAAGTAATTCTCCTTTAGTGCCCTCCATACGGATAAAATTCTGTAGCTTTTTCTGCTGTTCCACATACATTTGATTTTTTTCTCAAAACGTTATCATGGTAGCTGTAACAGTAATATTTTGTAATAGGTGATAGGAAAGGGATAAACTTTAATCAAAATTATACTGAACTAAAACGGACAGATATATTGGTTCTTTCTGGAAATTTATTAAAGTCTGAAGTTGCTTAACCTATCTCTAGAGATTTATAATTTTTCTAGCCTTATTTGAATGTAATAAACTTATACAATCAAGAAATGTTTTCATGAAGTATGTTTCCCTGCTGTATTGCTATTTTTATTAGAGTAACTTTTGCAATAAAGATGAAAAATAGAACCATAGCCTCTTAGTTCTTTGAATCTAGTATATGCCACTATTTCCCTATTACAAACTTTGGCTGGCTAGAAGATGCCACAGTATGTTCCATATGTATCTTCCATGCTAGTGTCTTCTTCAATACATGTCAAAGCAATGTTTCATCTGGATGTATTGCAGTCTATCTCTCAAGGGAGATTAATGCAAAAGCAACTTTGATGTTGTTTTTCAAAAGAGGCTTTGCACTGAAATGATGATTGTAGTTCTTTTTTCCAACTTCAGTGGAGCAAACACCCTGAAGCAACTTTGATGATGTACACAACTAGACACATGGAAGAAATGGTGAATTAATCTTGAAAATCCCAAGAACCCAATGTCTCAACATGTCTTTGAAAAGTTTTCAGAATATTTCAGTAGTATATACTGACAGTCCACATTTTAGAAGTTCTTTTTGTACCAAGATTCTCCTCAACACAGTTATACCAATGACCATTTGTTTACTCCTTCTTCTCAGTCCTTTCCAATTTCCAGAAGAAGAGACCAACACACAAGAACTCTTTGATTCTTCTCTTTGCTATTCTCACTGTTTACCTCCTCAGAGAAGTTAGTAATGGAGCTGAGCATTGAACATAAGGAAATGAGAACCCAAAAGATGGTATCTTTCAACTATTATTTGCTTATTGCACCTCTGAAAGCCCAACATTTAGTGTATGTGCTTAACTATAGGTGGCACATGTATTTACTCAAGTATATCATATTTACTCAGGTATCAATTGTAATGCACACCTCAATTTTGAAGGTGTGCATTGCAAAAAAAGATATGTTGTTGAATATAACACACAGCTTTCCCTTGTCTGTTGGCTGTTCTGCTGCCTACCTTGGATGGACGGGTGGCAGCTTCCCAACGAAGGCTTCATTCGTGAGACCTTCAAAACTGAGAGAGAGTTTGAAGACTTTGCGAATGTGGCCAGTTGGGAAACCATGCCCCTCCATTAAGCTGAAGCTGGTAAGTTTGCCAGACTTGGCCTGATGGAAGGACACAGATGGGTTTATGTGTGAATGTAATTTGTCATTCAATCTAATACATATCTCACTTTTGGCTATATAATTTAGCCAAAAAAGATGAGCATTATATTTAAGTAAATATTGTATATCTTAACCTACTACTAGATGAGACATTAAAGTCCTAGGGGATTTGAACAAGAATGCTAAATTTGCTTTGAATAAAACAATGGAAAGCAAGCTCTTTTATTATGAAAAAGACAAAGTAGGCATAAGATATCTTGCCATCTGGGAACTTCACATAAAGATCTAAAAGCAAGAAAAACAGAAACAGCATAAACCTCAATAAATAAAATGCACAGAGATGTGTCTGGGGGATTTGAAGCAATTAGCAAACCAAAGGAAGCATCAGTGAGACTGACAGAAAATATGGTATAAGCCAGGTCAGATTCAATCACAAGCAAAGGCCTATGAATAAATAAAATCCCACACAAAATCTTAATGCAAAGCAGTGCCACCAGAGGAAATTGTATTTCAAAATCATAACAGAATAGAGGGGAAAATTACCAATCACTGAGTTCTCTTATTATAGAAGCCAGAAGAGCTGTAAAACAAATGCAAATTCTATAGTGTTATTGTTTAGAATTTTTTTTAAAAATTATAATGAAACTATATATTGAACAAATGTCTCTGTTCCATAAATTTGAAATATTTGATACCCCTCATACATTAATTTCAAACCAGAAAGAAACTACCTCAGTTATTTTTGGTGAACAGATATGAACCACAACAACCTGTCAGTGTTGTACACTTTTTATAGCTTCCAAATAGATTTGGGAGGTAGCTGTTACAAAGAGACGCTTGGGCTTCAATTGATCTTGCTCCTAAGCTAGTGAGGTCAGGTAAGGTAAACAGTGTCCATCTTTGTGATAATGAAACTGAGAGAAAATACAGCATAGAATTGGTAAAGTGGCAGTATATGATCATTTGGCTACTCTAAATGAATTAAATTCTCCAAGGCCAGATGAATTACATTCAAGGGTATTAAAAGAACTAGAAGAAATAATTTCAGAATCAATTGCAATCATCTTTGAGAATTCCTGGAGAAGATCTGGCAGACAAGAGGAAGCCTAGCTGTATGAGGAGTTGCTTAGGGAGCTAGGCATGTTTAGCTAAGAGAAGAAAAGGCTGAGAAGGGACTGGATAGCCATGTTTAAATACTTGAAAGGATGCCTGTGACAATGTGTAATTTTGTTCCTATAGTTATGTGTTGTTTAAACAGTAGTTAATAAATGGTAAGTATGTAGAATTATATTTTGTTAGAGATGTTGGCTGGCTTGGCCTGAGTTGCCATAGCAACGGGGGTGGAGCCAACTGTCACCTAACTGCACATCTGTTTGAAATAGGCAGTCCATGACCATTAGAACCGCCGCAAACTAGCCTCCTGCGGAAGCAAACCTTGCCAGCACGTCCCTGACGTCATGAGACTGCACCTCTCTCCCCGCCCCTTTCTCCATGCCATGCACGGAGAAAGAGGCTGAGAAAGGGGTGGGGCGAGAGGCGGAGTCTCATGACGTCAGGGACGTGCTGGCAAGGTTTGCTCCCGCAGGAGGCTAGATGGCGACGGGTCTAAGAGTTGCAGAAAGGACTGATTTCTCTAGGGGGAGATTCAGGGAACTAGTCTGTGACCAAAGAGTTACAGGAGAAGGTAGTTGATCCTGTGGTGTGTGGAAAACCAGCAGGAATTCTATAGTTAGAGAACTATAGGGAAGACTGGTTCTTTAATATTAAGAATCTGGGTTTGGCTGTGAGCCAATATAGTTAGATAAGTCAGGTGGCTTATTTGTAGTAAAAGAACGCTTGTTGAAGAAAGATATATCTACTCAAAGAAATCTCTTAAAGTCTGTACCTAAAGTTACTCATGAAACCTTACTATTGTAACCAACTAAGCTTGTGCTTCTAGTGAAGAAACATTGAATCAGTTATATTCTAATAAAACTTGTTACTGTTCTTTTTACAAGCCTTGCCTCTGTTACCTTTACTTCTAAGCCAAACAGCCTACAAAAGAAGAAAGGTCAAATCAAGAACCAAATTAGAGCTACGCTATCAAATGAATAAATACTTCTGCAAATAATAGTCCCTTTATAAACCAGCTCCTAAGCTGATATTGATCATTGCCCGGCTTTCCTAACAAATTTGGTGGCAGTAATTTTATGCTCCTTCACAATGCCATATTCCATTTGTCTTCTATTGCTCTATGGCACAGAACAATGGAGTGAAATTGCAGAAAAAGAAATTCCACCAAAACATTAGAATGGCCTTTGTGGTCTCTAATATGATTCTATGATTCTATGTGCATTCTTCCTTTAGTTCCCAATTGTGAACTGAAGAAAGGCCTCTGAATGACTGCAGTTTATGACAAAATTTGCAGTAGCCCGTAGCTGAAAATCTCTTTATTTACACATTGCTAGAGCTTCTGACAGATACCAACTTTTGCTGCACTGTGCACGTATGGTAAGGCTGATATTTCAGTGCTCTATATATGTTCAATAAATCATTCAGGAGGAAGAAAATGTTCCAGCAGGGAAAGTTATATTTGCTCTGTTTTCCACTACTTGGCAAGAAATAAGTGTCTATTTCTCTTCATAAACCATTGAGACTAAAGTGGTATCCACTACTGCCGACTCAAAATTTTGGGCAGGCTGTCAGATTGGAAAAAATCTCAAAACGCACAGGAGCAACTAACATGCCTCTTTGTTACTTTTTAAACAAGGATGTTTTTGTTGTCCTACACTTTTAAAGGACAGTCAGAATGAAGTTGTGTTTTCAATGCTGGAGTAGAATTTTGGAAGACCAGGATTCCTATTCCCATTCTATCAAGAAAACCTCTAAGCAAGACACACTTTTTCCACCTCAGAGGAAGGTAATGGAGAACCTCACATCATTAAATACTGCCTGAGAACCCTATGATAGGGTCACTTTAAGTTGCAGCCAACATGGATGTGACAACATTTCATTTTCATGCAGCACATAATTTCATGTATCTAACTTACCAAGACATAGCTATCTTCAATGTATAAGTTCATGAACAGCAAGCAGATGACAAGGACTCCAAGAAAGGATACGGCAGATCGCTTTCGTAAACACCTCATTTTGTCCAAATGCTTCAGTGTGAATCTCAGTGTAAAGAGAAAGGCATACAGTACTTCCTATGGGACAAAAATTGTTGTGAAATTTGATATGGTTTAGGAGTTATATTATACTTTTAAAACAGCTAATTTTACAGTTTTAGATTACTATTTTGAAAGAACTAGACCCCATCTTTCTCACTGGAATTTCTTACAATAAGTGTTGACATATTTTATCAGATGCTTCATATCAGTATAGAACTACCTCACAGAGATTAAGGATTACAAGATTAGAAACACACACACACACACACACATATAGAGAGAGAATGAGGTGGGGTGGGGGGAGTGAGATAGATATTTTCCATCCATCCATCTCTGAATTATAGTTGTTTCGAACTGATATATGGCAAATTTAATGTTTGCTTAAAACCGTCTACTCAATTTATTGTTATTTTGTACATGCTAGACAATATAGTTGTATAGAACTGGATGCAATGATTGGAAGACATTCTGTGAAAACCTCAATAAATTTAATGGAATTTAGCTGGTGGGTTGTTTTTTAAAAAATAGTTGAATGTATTTAAGGGCCAAACTCATAGACTTCCATATTACTTTGTTTTTGTTTGTTCCCCAAACAGATTTTACATGTTTGTGGAAAGTTTAGATAGGGAAGAAGCAGTTTGACTCTTTCCTCTCTGCATTAAACCACTCTCGTCAAACTGTTTTTCTCTGAATCAAAGAGGGTGGGGGAGGATGCAATACATTCATTTTTCTGAAAGGTAATTTTCCAGCTTCTACCAGGAGTACAAGTGGCAATGAAAATAAAATGGGTTAATGCCAAGCTGATATGCCTCTTGGTTTCTCCAATCTTGGAGGTGGCATTTGTTTTAAGAAAAGATCAGTCAAAGCTCATTAAAAGTAATTACAATTGATGCTTCAGGCAAAATAGTACTTTTACATCTTCATATATGCTCATACTCAAATCAACATCGTGTATAAGTCGAGGGCCTGTTTTGGGGACAAAATTATTGATTTTGATATGATCTGTGAATAACTCAAGGGTCATTCTGCAGAGAGGGGAAAGCACCAACGCTACCTTGGGCAGCCGGCTATGCTGGATGCCACAGCCATTTACTTGCCCAGGCATTAAAAAAGCAATTGAAAAAGCACTATGGCAGAGATAATAGAGGGGTGTGCAACTTCTTTTAGGTTCTCCCAGGACAGACTAATTTCTTGCCCTTTGCTAGTCTACTCAGAGAAAGTGATAATTCCTTTTTTATATGAGTTACATTGATCCATGGATAAATGAACTCAGTTTTTTGTGGGTTTATTTTTTTTGACTAAAATTTATAGACTTATACACAGGTATATAGCGCAAAATTGTCCAATGAAATGTTGGCAATTTCCTATCGATGCTTCCCTATGTCATTTGATGGGTGCATGTTCAGTAGTTACCCATTTTGTATGGTGGTGTAACGGATTGGCCTACCTTAAAGAGTTGGTGTAAAAGACAGAAACCAAGCCCAGTTTGCTAAAGCTAAGGAGAGCTGAGGGGAGGAGCAAACAGGCAGCCTCATAGCCAGGAGTGCAGTCTGATTGGCTGATGAAATTGGAGGGAAAAGCTCAGCAACTGGAGATGGGTGGAGCCAGAAGGAGAGAAGAAGCTGACGCAGCCATTTCAGAGCAGTTAGGAGTTTGGTAGGGAAGAATACAGTCAGAAGTTTTGATGGGGGAAGGAAGAGTTTGGGATTTTTTGTAGTTTAAAGATACCTCTTTGAGGATAATAGTTAATAGGCCTCTATAGTGATTAGAGTGCTGTGGGAGATTTTAAAAGTTTGAAAAGATCCTGTTTGGATTTCTGTGTAGGGAACTTTGTTTAAAGAAACTCAAGATATAAGTAACATCCTCTGTAAGAAATAAAGCCTGTCAAGGTATTTGAAACCATTATGCATATTGACTGTTCAAAATAAACAACATTTTCCTGTTTCATCTCAACTGAAGTCTTTGTGTGGCTTTTTAAACATTCTAGTGAAGGAGGTGGCCTATTAAAATAATAAACTGGTGGCAGCAATAGAAACCTTTAATAAATAATAGGAGGTAGCAAAGGCAAAATATAAAAATACAGTGGTAGCTTCCCACTGTCTGGCTTTGTGTGTGAGGGTGTGTGTGCTCTGATTCCCTCACGGCCTTGCCTTGGGGCAGACCTCCATCTTGTTTGTGGTTATTTCAATTGGTGGCAGTGTCTGGCCTGTCATCCATCCTGTTTGTTACAAGTGGTATTGTAATCTTGCAGGCTAGGTTTTTGGGAAGATGACAGAGCTTTCTCTGTAGCAGCCCCTGATGGTGGAACTGTCTCTCTTGGGAAGTCAGGTTGGCTCCATCCTATTTATGTTTCTAGTAAGCAGCAAAGACTATTCCCTATCATATGATGTCTCATCTTTGAAATTGGTATGCCTGTCATGACCATATGATTTTAAATTATGTTTAAGGACACTTTGTAATCTGCTTTATTTGGGTTTTTGTTTTTTAAAAAAATGTTTTTTACTCCTTGCATATTACCTCTACTTCCCTAGTGGACTGAGAAGCAATACATAAATGTGTCATTTAATAAATTAACATACAATTTTGTATTGGAATAATCTTATGCCACTGAAGAAACAAAACCTTCTGAATAACATATCTGCAACATACGAGAATTTAATATATCTTGTGTCAAAAGTATTGTATAAAATAGTTTATCTAAAACTGATAAAATAAAGGTATCACAAGCTGCTAGATAGTTTTAGACCAAAAATGGGCAACAGCAACTGCATATTCTATACCTTTAAACAATTCTTTCTGTGTGCATGAGGCAGGGCATCTTGCGCAAGCATACAGATGCTGAATTGTTTGTTCTGCTCCACAATCACACAAGGTGGAGGATTCTTCTAGGTAGTGCCATTTTGCCAAGCTGACTTTTGATCTGCCAACTCCGCCTCTGAGTCTGTTCAGGGACTTCCAAGTTGCCAATTCTTGGTTTGCCCCTGAAGGAAGACCCGCTTGGGGGACCATCCAACTGGGATTTCCAGGTTTAGCTGTCCAGAGGGATATTCTTGTTGTTGCTGGGGGAAGTAATACGGTGGTTCTTGGGAAGCTTTGCCTTGCTTTGCATCTACTGGGAGGAGGCTGATAGCCATGCAGTGGATGGCTTTCACAGCGTTCAACCTTTTTTCTGTCACACTTGGCAGTAACCTCTCATCGCACCTGGGGGATGGGCAATGCCAGCTAGCTTTATAGAGTCTATCAACAGGTGTGGGTTTAAGACATCCTGTGACTATTCTACATTTAGTGCTATATTCACCTGCTTCAATGGGGCTGAGAAGCAATACATAAATGTGTCACTTAATAAATTAACATACAATTTTGTATTGGAATAATCTTATGCTGCTGAAGAAACAAATCCTTTTGAATAACTTATCTGCAACATATGAGAATTTAATGAATTAGATCCAGTATGCACTTATTCTTATCAAAAGACACATATCCTAGTATTGGAAAGATAAACATTCACCATCCATTTTTCAATTGTCAGAAGGCCTCACCGCTCTAGCTATTCGTAAGCATGTAGAACTTAAAGTTTTCCTTAACATTAAAGGAATGTTCATATTCATACCCTGTATATTCCTCCTTTTCTTCCCCCCTTTTCTTTCTACCACCTCTCTATACTTTTATTATACCATGATTTAAATAATAAAATTATTTTAAAGTTATTTTATTTTTAAAAAAATCAACAATAAAGCTTTGAATGTGGAGATGTACTACAATTGCGTAGCATTTGCCTCTTATAAACATGGGGATTTTGTACAACAAATGTTCAGCATCTGCCTCTTCAATGAAATAGTAGTTTTGTCTTGGAGTGGAAATATAGATGATTATAGTAGCTCACATGCTTTCCAAATCTTTTTAGTTTTAAAAGAAAGCAGTGCTGGGGCTAAATCAGTGCTGGGTATAATATGCATCATTTATACCCCAATTTCTACTTTCCTTTATAAACTATTCACTGTGCTTCCTGAAAACAAGTCATTTTGCCATTCTGACTACCTAGGTGGGCCCTGCAGCAAATTAGAAATGCCTTTCTGGGTTAGAGATCTGAAGCTGTGAGTTGGGTTGTCAATAATTCCAGCTTAATAACCCCAACAAGCCACTGTGACGATTTACATGAAGCAACTTTTACTGCATTGTGACATAAAATTTACTCTGATATTGCAAAAAGTTACTGGTATAAAGTAAAAATGAACTACAAATATGCTGAAATGGGAGAAGTAGGACAGTTTTTACAGGAGCCTGGCTGAATATGCTACCTCCAGCTATACTGGAAGGAAGATCTAGGCATTAGATTTATATTGAATGCCATTGCTCAGTGAAAGATAGGTAAAAGTTTTGTTTTCAATGAATATTTACTGGTTGATTTATAATGTCCTGAGGGCAGAGTATCTTAACCATACTGAGATATGGGGAAAGAATTTCTTACGAGATATTGATTTTATTATTGTATAGGCAGGACAGCATGTAACTATTAAAGTTTCAGTTTTTAGCTGTTGCAATTCATGCCAGAAGAAAAGTTTAAATATGAATGCTATTTCCTGCCAAAGCACTTCTGAATTTCAAAAGACAGGTTTGTATAACCTGCAGCATTTTCATTTAGGTGTTGGCAGGTGATATGGGAAATCTGTTGTCTAGAGATTTTGTGCTTTGAAATATAAAATGTATTTCACTGAGTCATATCTGAGAAGGGAATTATCAGAAGGAGTAGAAAAGTTCAGGACTTGTCTTAAACAAGAACAAGATAGCATGCCGACAATATATCTAGACTATATTAAAATGGTAATGTCATTGGTAAAGTATGGCAAGATGCTACTTTATCCCTGGAAATTTATATTTACATTTATAGTCACTAGAGGGCAGCATTGACACATAGCATACCTCTCTTAGCGCTATTCTATAGCTTTCCTTTTACCTAATAGAGCAAGTCATTTTTTTTTTGTCCTTAGCAAACTTAGGACAAAAACTGACCCAACATCTTGAATAAATGATATGGA